CCTTTTCCGGATTTGTAGGTTATATCGATACGTTTTACGCAATATTCTGGCGATTAGTCGTCCGTCTGCGGTCAATTATCGCCCCCAAACATCTCTCTCGATTGGAACGGATGAGAGTTATTAGTGTCAGGCATACGAGATTTATGAGTAACAGTATTAATCGCCGGAAATTTTTTTCTGTCGATTTGCATATCGGTACGTCTCCGCTCTGTCTACGACGCACAAGTCGCCCGTCGCAGCCATTGTCCCGATTCGATACGTTTACGCAATATCCGTGCGATGAGTCGTCCGTCGCACATCTTGAGTCGAACGGTATAAATTCATTGTTAGGTGCGCGAGATTTCGTGTAAGACTTTTCTCGCTCGCGACGTTGCACGCATGTGCGAAGTGTTTGTAAAAAAATACGTGCTAGTCATGGAGCAACTGTATGGTTGATGGTGATAACTGACACCGTTCGCCGTGAAATGAATGAATTCGCGAAAACATTGGAGACTCTAGCGACGATCGTGCGAAATATGTATATGGATCTGGACAACCTGAAGAAGACTCTTCCATCGTTTGTAACGATGAACGTTCATTTACACGTGCACGAGAAATCGATAGGTACATTGTAAGTATATAGGATTGTAAGGTACATGCATGGTACATGTCACATACATACTACACACTGTGTGTTGGTTACAGAAGAGACATTCGGAGCTTCATACAGGATATGTCCACTCCCGTGGACGAGTACGCAAACAAATTGAAGGAGATATACGAGGAGCTGAAACAAAAAGAAAATAGGACGTCTACCGAAATGAACGCACAGACGCAGAGTGTGGGGATGCAAAATAGGGACCAAGCACGAGATAGAGAGATAGAGAGACAGGAGACGGATTGTGCGAGTAAACATTAATACGATTAATATGCCTTTTCACGTGTAACATATATTTGTAAACTGATAAAGTACAATAGTTGAATAAACGCTGGTGTAAGAATATAGCGAGACAGTATGTATGGAGGAGTAATTAGAGAGTTTAATACCGTTTTATCGTATCCGTTTCATAGTTCATATTGACGTTGTCTCTTATTACCACGTTGTCCTCGCTCTCTAAAAACTCCTCTATACACTGTCTACAGTGTATCGCCCTTTGCACGTGAACCACTTCCCGTTTGCAGCGTACACAACACATTTTATTATTATTTATTATTATTATTATTTTGGTATCCCACTGTAGTCTGTAAAGTCGCGAGGTAATTGAGTGGTATTCAGTTTTTCTGACGTAAGGAGTTACCCCTACAAATGATCGTGCAAGGTAACATTTCTCGCACATTTTCTGCCACGGGTATACCCGTAATACGTAGATCGCTCCGCCGACCGATTGCTTGAAACAGCTGCACCGCAGGAGTAAGTGATAACGATTCTCATGATCCTGCGGGCGCGCTCCGTCCATCGGTCCGTCGCTCTCCGTCGAAGGTTTCATCGCTGTATGTGTGTACGGTAGGGCTGGGAGAAAAGGGAGGTTGCTTAGTCTACGTTAAGCAGATCGACGTGAAAGTATCGCAGTGGAGAAAACAACACCTGTTTACCTAAAAACGTGTAATCCAGTGAACGTCACGTTTGTTTATGTTTTCGCAGTTACAGCACGACGATTACATTCGTACTGACTATGGTGATGACGTTGATGATGATGATGATGATGATGATGATGCGCACGCGGAAGCTAAGCGACAGACGCAACCGCAAAGATAATCCGAGGGAGGATGAGGAAAGGCGATAAGGAAAAGATGACACGCTTATTTACTTTATACTAAAGTGCTATATTTGCAAGTATAATATGGTTCACAGGTACTACGACATATGTGTTACGTAATGTATACTACACATGTACCAGTGTATAGGGTGTAGTCGTGCAAGTAGACATGTAACAGTATAGAGATATAGTGCAATGAAACAAATATGAATAATATGTTTTACAAACATGTGTCGAGAGCCATTTCCCGTTCAATCAACCAATTGCGCAATTTGGTAACGTTCGTTATTGCGCAGTGCGCGGTGTGGCGTCTGCATCGAAACGCATTGTCCGTGCTCAGATACATCAGCCCCTCGATGTCCTCGTAATCCGCGTCGATGGACCTGACATAGCGGGCGCTTTCGTCGAGAATCTGCTCCAGCCACTTCTTCTTCTCGTGCCCTTTGACGTAGATCTTCACGTCGTCCGCCAATCCGTCACACGTGGCGCGTCGTCTCAGATGTTTGGAGCGCGGGTATGGGACGTCTCCATCGTTCCACTGCAGTCCGTGATGATTAGCCGTTATCCAGCAAGCTTGCGATTTTTCGTCTGTCGTTAGTAGATCCCAGGCCATCGGTGCTTTGAAAACATGATGCGTTAACACATTTTTGTCTCGCAGCACGGCCACTTCCTTTACGATGAATTTTTCATCGACGATGAAGCCCTGCAGGTCGACGAAGACAGGCACGGTTGACATCGTGCGTGAACGCAGTTTCTTTAGGTGTACGGTCAAGCAGCACGGCTATCTCTCTCTCGTGTACGATGAAGTGTTTGTTGTATTCATCGACTACGAAGCCTCGGAGGTCGACGAAGACTGGCACGTTTGACAGTGCGTGTTCGGGTGGGATCTGAACGACGTGTGAGACGGCGTCGTTTTATACCGTATGTGTGTGGTTGTCGAAGGACTGTACTAGATGACTCGGCTATGAAAAAAACTAGTTATACAAGTTTTCGCACCACATTCGTCAGGGGACTGTACTCGATGATTCGATCATGAATAATGAGGCAATACGCTGTGGTGTCGGCCGGAAAGTTTTCCTTACACTCGAACTCTACGCGAACGTCTACGGTGGCGCTTTTCACCGCCTCGTTCTGACGAGAGCAATCGATCACCACAAATGGGCCGGATGTTAGAAATGATTTTACGTTTAGATACGCATCGTCGAGTTTTCGACCATAGTACGATTTTTGAAATTTTGCATACATGTCGTATAGTATAGCAAATTTATTGTTCTCGATATCAAGATTCATGTCGTCATAAGGATAAAAGTCCGAATTCAAATACAGTTTGGTGAGCTTGCAATGATCGAAGGTCGAGGAATCGCGTGTCAACACGTTTCGTCGTCCTGTCTGTAGAGCAAAGATAACGTATCGCGGTTTCTCTAGTTGCGCCGCAGTTTTTACGGCCCACGAGTGCTTGGTCGTGCTCTGCAGCAATGGAAATTTGTACAGATCCCACGAGCGAAATCCGACGCTTAAAAACCGTCCGCTCTCAAGCGTTCGCAGAAGCGACAATTTGTTCACGTCGTTCAAAACAATGTGCGGCATTCGCCATTGCACCCTCGAAAGAACGATTTTCGGACTTTTAGCACTCTCTTGCGCCACGATGCAATTGGTATCGGTGCGCGCGCGTATCAAGATAAGTTCGTGTCGCGCGTTCACCACTACGCGTTTGTAGTCCTCGCAAAAGCCCAATAATATTTTCAAGGGGACGCACAGGCTGAAGGAACCGCTGTCGGAAACGTTTGGCTCACCCCACCCGGCGTTCTGCAATATATCGAGCTCGCGCGACGTCAACGAAACGTAATTCTTAATCGTACTGGTTATTCTAACGTTGCGATTTCGATCGATCTCTACGCCATTGAGTTCGTAACGTATCTTCTCGAACATGAAGGCCACGCAGTTGCTCGCACGTTTTGAAGTCTGATTCGTCGCGATCGCAGGAACGCGACGTTCGCGGCGCTCAATTGATTTTTGTTCTCTCCACCTCTTCCTCCTCCTCCTCCTCCTCCTCTCTTGTCAACGTACGGAACAGACTCGTTTTTCACGCGCGAATCACCAACAACGAGCATATCTCACGCTATGCGTTTTCTCACGTGCAATCGTATCGTTATCTCCTCCCCGCGAAAATCAATCGGATGTCCGTTTTGATCCACCACTCGCAATGTTATATCGGTCACGCTCCTCACGATGACCGGTAGATAAATGATCTGCGTTGGCGTTTCCGACAGTTTATATCCCGGCGGAACATTCGGCACGAATTCGTGTATCGCGTGTACCGGTTTGTCGTTGCTGTAAGCCCCCGCGGTAATGTTGCATTCCACGCGTACGACGTTGACGCTCATGATATTTATCGGTTGGTCCGACACGTACCATCTGTTCGGTTCCAATACGCGCGTTGTCGAGAAACCCAATAAGGAGCCAATATTGTTCGGTTTTGTAAAATTTACTCGATACGCGCATTTTATCTCAGTACTCATGGTATTTTCATTGGCGCGAAGAACGATAGTATATTGGTTATCCTTCCCCTCGTCGTCGTCGACGTCGTAATCGTTGTTGTCGTACACGCGATACTCGTTGAGATCTTCATCGTCATCTGTGGACTTGTCCCGCCGTTGTCGTCTGTCGATAATCGCGGCCTTGAGATACCGTTCGATTGCGCGCAATTCGTACGATCCTTCGGGAATGACGATCGGTTCGTTGTTCTCACCAAAATAGAATGTATCGTTCGTCGAATTGACGTTCGGTATCGTGTTGTAGGTCTCGAAATTGGCAAGGCCCAACTCGTATTCACCGTCACTGAGATCGAGAGCGGGAAAATAGCTCGCGACGAGAACGCCGCTCGTTCCCGTCAGCGACATGACGATCGAGAGTCGACTGAGGTTTATCTTGATTGGAGTTACGGTTTTGTTGTTTTTTTGTTGTCCAATCGAATTCGTACAGAAACCGCAGGCACAACTGACCGCAGAAAGTTTGACTGAACGTTTGATACGCCCGATGATTGTACGATATGTTTACGTCCTCTAGATAGCGCGCTAGTTCTCGCGGAGGTCGAAGATTTCCAAAACTGTCAAAGTACACAGCATCGTTCGCCTGTTTTGCATATGCAACCCAATGCGTACCCGGACCCACCGTGTTATCGAGATTCACGATGCCGCACTCTTCACGTCGCGCTTTCACGGGTAAATCGTCGCGCATAAACACCCCTCGAAAGTGAGGTATGCGTAGTTTACGCGCCGCTCGACTCAATTGTCCGCTCGTCGTGACGTCATACATCGGTAAATCGAGCGCCTCTAGCGTCTCCGTTCACGTTTTTTTTGTTTCGTTTTACGTTTCCCACCACTACCACCTCCGTATTTTTTGTACGGTGCTAGGTACAGTCCGCGACCCTCCATCGTTCGATTGTGACGTTGCAGCTCCTCTAACTGGCGTCGCGCGGCTTTGTTGTCGTTTACGACCTTCGCTACACCGGCGGCTCCACCAATCAAGGACCCGAGGACCCCTAGTATCGGCAGAATGGGCAACAAGCCTCCGCGTTTCGCCGCTGGCAATACTCTCTTTCCCCTCTTCCTTCCTCTCTTCTTCATACCCATTCCCAATTTCGTTTTTACCTTCATAGCACCCCATACAGCGGTCGCCGCGGCTCTCTCGCCAAGGGTCGCGTTTCTCGCTGTGATACGACCGCGCGCTTTCTCAGCGATGACTCGATCGGCGGCGTGACGATCGACAAGGTTGCTGCTTCGCGACTACGCAATGTCGTGCTCGCGGCACGCCGCGTCCAACGGATTCACCCCTCGCTCACCGCGCTGCAATCGTTCGTCGAGACGAGTTCCAGGCCCACAAAATTGATAACCGGGCACATGCAGTTCGAACGGAAGCGCATTTATCGCTCTGTTCAATAGACCGGCGCCTATTCGTTTCGCACGTTCTGACATCGAGCACAATCCTTAACGAGCGGTGGTGGACCGTCGACGTGCGTGTCCTGCCAGGATTGGTTGTAATGCTCGCGACACGTGCGATACCCTTGCACCTCGGGATCGGTTTTCAACGTAACGTCCAGTTTATTCAACAACCGGTCCACGTAGTCGCCGAAGTAGACCAACAGAACGTGTTTCGACACGAAACGTAACTGTTCGGGAGACCATTCGAGAATATCGCGCCTGTCCAGCATTGCCAGCAACATATTGACGACTGTGCGCGAACCGTCGAATCGTCCGTGTATAAATAGAACGACTAACTGACGAACCGATCGTGTATAAACGAGAGAGAATCGATGCGCAGGCGCGCAGTACGCGTGAAAGACACAATGCGATTCGTGTCGCGATCACCAACGATTGGGGTGCACAATCTTGACCGTAGACCGCGATCGATGTCGGAGGTAGCAGGTGAAATGAGCAGACACGGATCCTTGTTACCTAACACAATACACTGGATTATCTGCGGACCATCCAATTGCGGTAAAACTAACGTGTTGATAAGCCTATTGGAGAGTCCACACGGTATACGTTTCTCAAACGT